GGCTCTTGGAAATAAAGTACGTTTTCATAATAAGCAGAAGTTTCCTGTCCAGGAGTAATTTGTGGACCAGTGCGTCAGTCTTTAGACCCTGCGTCTGCTTCAGTCGCGCCATCGCTGGAATGAATCTATAAGAATCACCTTAGTTTGGCTTCGCTGCTTTTCCTCTTGTCTTCTTCTTTCAGCAATCTCAAAAACGGACTTTCTTTTGCGGCGAACTGCTCCTGGATTCTTGTCGCCATTGCAACAAACTTTGTGCGAACTGCGAGGAAGATATAGGTCAAAAAAAGCCGCTAAGAACTGTTGCGTTGGTGGAGTAAACAGCGTCTGTGCGTCTTGCGTCTGTGGACTGCGTGACAGTCGTACGTAAACCACGTAGCGGCGGCGCAGGCAAGTCAGTTACACTAGAAACGTAGGGAGTTTGATTGACAGCCTGTCAGCTCACAGATAACGAGGCAGTGTCGTTATCTATTGGCAAATGTTTAGCCCCACCACGTCCAGAGTTGATGAATTTTTATTCTCTTTTTTTTGGTCATCATAATTACAAGGCTACTGCACCTCTATAATCTATCACTGACAACTTGAAACAAAAAAAAAACAAAAAAATCCTCCATACAACCTTTAAGTATAATTAAGTGACTCTGATTAAACATATTATATTTATTTAAAACGATTTAAGAGTATAAGTGTTTTTTTTCCTCCCTGCCTTTAGTCATCTGTGTTGTTGACCTGTTATTTCTGGGTATATTTAGCACATTTTCAAAGCCCGGAGGCCACATAGACAGTTCTGAGTCAGTCTCGTCCTCCCAGACTTCATTACACAAGGAGCAAATACACAACCACACAGAACACGTCACTCTGCCGCAGCCTGTGTCAATGCGAACAGGCAGCGCTTCTCAAACCGGGGTGCACGTCCCGCTGGTCACACGCGGGAGAGTCTAATGTGTTTTTATCACAGACACCAGCAGAAACAAGTGCTGCTCACAACATTTACAAGGGCTCATGTGTTGTTTTCTTATCACAAACTTACCTGGAGTTTTGTTTTGTTTCATTCACACAAACCCTGCAGATTTAGGCTGAGTTCTTCCCTCAAACTGAAAACACTCTGTTCCACCTTCTGATGTCATGTGGTAATACAGGAAAAAATGCTCCACTGTGTTTTTTAAGATGACCAGTGACCAAAAGTAGTACATTTTTACAGCTAATTTTGAAGTTGTCTTGACTTTAAGGTGCTTTGTGTCACTTTTCTAGTGGAAGGTCCATTAAATGCTTTCCTCCATGGAGATGCTATTGCTTTGTCAGAAATGTTTCACAGTATGGCATTAAACCAGGCATGTTCAAACTACGGCCCGTGGGCCAAATGAGGCCCTCAGACAAATTTTTCTTGGCCCTCAGGCTTCCAGGTGAATTGGCCCAAATTACCTTGCATCATTTAAAAATTAACTTCTTACTGCAAGGTTTTTGGAAAATCTACCCTGATAAAGTGAATATTTAATATTTAGTGTGTGGTTTTAAGGATCTTAGCATGAGCCAGTGTTTATTCATGCTATTCGTGTTAAACATGCACAATTTTCCATTATTCACTATACTGAGCACCAGTCTCCAGCCCTCGATCAGCCCTCTGCTTGATCTTTGTTTAGATATGTGGCCCTTGATGAAAAAAGTTTGGACACCCCTGCATTAAACCTTTCTGTCTTCATGGAGACAAGGTTCCCACGGTCATGGAAATCCTGGGAAAGACATGGAAATTCAGTATCTCTTGGCGTTCTGTTAAGTTCTCATTAGGTTATTATGATCCAGAGGTCTGCGCTCTGCAGACCAGCACCTTCTGGTTGACCCCAGGACCAGGCTGAGGACCAGAGGAGACAGGACCACTGCACTTTGCACATTAGAACTGCACAAACACTGGAGCACTTTAAATCCTTGGTCAAAACGCACCTTTTCTCCCTGGCATTTGTCCAGAGTTAGGAGGAGACACCTTGGCACCTTGCTGTTATTTTATGTATATACTATTGTTGTTGCTTTGTTATGTTTTATTTCATTGTTCAGCACTTTGGTAAGCTTTGGCTGTTTTAAATGTGCTATACAAATAAATTTGATTTGATTTGATTTGATTATTTACGAACGTATGCACGTTTTGTTTAAAAGAGACGACAATAAATGCACTGACAGTTTTTTGAATGTTAAAAAACTATAAAACCAAACCATAAGGTGAGAAAAAAGGGTTAACATTTCATATTTAGCCCTAAACGTAGGAGTAGGGGTGTGCAAAATATCAAAATATCAATATATGTTATCATTTAATGTGATGATACTGTATTGATATCGTGGGCTGCTGTATCGATATATCGCCAAGAGTATTTTTTGGTATATTTAACTAAATAATTTTGTTTCAGCACTACAGTTTTGTTTGTTTAGAGAATGGAAGTTTGTTTATAAGACACATTTGACATTTTCACTGTTTTGATGATTAAAATGTTTGTGTTTCATATGAACTTTACACAAGACTTTTAGTCAAATTGCACTTTTTAAATGTTTCTGCTCACCCTTTTATACTGCGCATCTTTAGTGCAACTACAAGAAAAAGAGTTTGCAGATTTTGACGGTGGCCTATAATGACTCTTTGAGAATATTACTGAAAGTGCGGAGGTTCTGTAGCGCCAGTGAAAGGTTTGTAAATTGTGGCGTGAGGCCTGCGTCGTCACAAGTGAGATGTTGTATTTATTAATTTATTTGTAGAGCCATGAATCTGAGCCATCGAATCATTGAAGCTCTAGTGTGTTTGTGATTCACCTCTGAGCTGTGGAGACACTGCCGCTCTTGTCTGTAAACATTATAACATGAACTGTATTTAACTTTTTTTATTCTTACTGTTTTTTTTTTTAACACTATGAACCAGATATTACGTGTTCTTAATAAAGGTTGAATTGAACTGAATTAGTATCACAGCCAGGATTTAGCCTTGATTTTACTAAACCGTATCGAATCCATTTGAAATATATCGTATTGAATCGAGATATGTATCGCATCGCGGTCTGTGTATCGAGGTATGTAACTTCTTAATGATACTCAGCCCAACCTAAAATTACCGTATTTTCCGAGCTATTAGACGCGCTCTTAAGCCTCTAACCTAGGGATGGGCATTCGATGAAATTTTCTTAATCGATCGTCGAGAAGAATTAACGATTATCGATTAATTATTAACGTTTTTATATTAAAATGATCATCATTATTATTACTATCTGCACTACTAATCTGCATAAATAAATTCAACTTTACGACATATAAACCGTAACGACTCTAGAGCCACATCAGCCCGTTTGACATTATAATGTGTTTAATTCAGTTTTGTTCAAATCTCACAGAAACAAAACTTAAAACCGCATCACTAATTTGCATAAACTAAGCGAAGATAAAACTACAGCTCTTGTGTCGCTGATGCGGTTCAATTTCTGTCAGATTAAAAGACACGACTCAGGTGAATACAGGTTAGTGTGACCAGATTTGTGTTTGTCAAAACCAGGACACCGTACGGGGGGAGGGGGGTGGGGACTCGTCATCGACATTGAGCGACTCTCACCTGGTAAAACTTTTTCCCACTGGACACAGAAACATATGTGCTGCTTTATACACTGTGCACATGGACTCACACTTGTCCCGAACGCAACGGAAAGTGTGGAATTTCTTGTACAAATCATCGTTAAATACACATTTGTGCTTCAGTACGTTACAGACTGACCCACTGTTTGTGTCTCGCTCCTTCTGATGCAGAGAGACACATGTACACACCTGTTTGGTCACACTACACACAGCAACCTACATTCGGTTTGTCGATTAAAATTAACGTAATCGATGAAATTCTTAATGATCAATTATCGATTAATCGATTAATCATGCCCATCCCTACTCTAACCGCATCAAAAAACGACTACGCGCCCCATAATTCAGAGCGTCCTATACACGAATCCACTAGAGTGTCCCAGCATGACTTCAGTAAACTACAAAAGCCGCACCACCCGCAGCGCACGCAAACACACACGGAGCAGACAGCGACCGCGCAGCGAAAAACACCCACAGACACACTCATCACTCCACGCCGACGAGGAACGGAACGGAGGAACGAACCGAAAAAAGCGAGTGCAATGTGCCACTTCTAGACACGACTGAACAACTGAGTCACTGCGAACACGCCAACAATCCGTTGGTCCCAGACAGCACCTCCCTACACGCCACAACTGAACAAAGCCCAGAGTCACTGTGAACGAACAAACAAACAAAACCACTGACCCATCCAACTGTTGTGTTTCATTTAAAGTCCAGTGCGGTTTATTTGTGAAAAAAGTTTGAAAATAGACCATTTAATGACAGTGCGTCTTATAATCCAGAGCGCCTAATAGCCTGTAAAATACGTTATGCTCAATTCTACACATGTAGGTGCCGTAAAGTCATGGAAAATTCACTTTAGGTCATGAAAAACGTCATGGGAAAATTGGTCAGTTGAAAAAGTGAGAAAAACCAGACCAAATTACAGGTCACCTCTTACAAGCGACTCTGCTCACAGCCAGAACACCTGTTTTTCTTGGTATTTTTGAGCTTTAAAACCACCTATAATTGAATAAATTTAAAGTAGAGCAGTTTAATGTCACACTGTGGGACATTCCAGGCAGAGGGATAGCATATCTATAGAAACAAGGAGATGATGAACCCGAAAGCAAAAAGTTACATAGTGCAGTTTTAACATAAATTTTCCAAGCCTTATGAAAGCCATTAAAACTCACTTAAACCTACGCCAAATCACCATTTTGAGTCACTTCATTGTCCTGGATCTGTGGCCCTCGTCTCAGTCTGCAGCTTTTAGTGAAAAATGTTTGGACACCCCTTGTTTTACCCCATGGAGACAGGATATTTAACTCTCTGCAGGGGTTAAACTTAAATAATTACAGCTCTGTTTTGTTAATTTAACGTCCCCAAAATGACACTGTTTATCCTCTTTATCTCCACAGCATCTCCAGTGCACCATCCAGGCTCTTCAGGACGAGCTCCGGATCCAGCGAGACCTCAACCAGCTTTTCCAGGGCGACTACTCGGAGCCCGGTCGCCTCGGTAACCCTCTGCCGCAGGAAATGACGGAGGAGAACTTCCTGCGTCTGCACAGCGAGTACGAGCGGCAGGCCAAAGAGCTGTACCTGCTCCGCAAAACTCTGGAGGAGATGGAGCTGAGGATAGACACGCAGAAGCACACGCTGACGGCCAGGTAATGCTCTCTCCATGGAGACGTTAGTACTTTGCGTGGGATGTTACACAGTATGGCATTAAAGTCCATGGGAAGAATGAAGAGACACCACCGGGCCAAGTTACAGAACTGAGAAGTACACCGTGTATTTCAAGATTTTTGCACAATAAGACACTTGTTGTTAAATAAATGAAATATAAATGTTTAATGCCATACTACAGAACATTCAAGTCTACACAATAAGAAAATGTTTTAGAACACCCTAATTCACAGGTGTCAAACATCCGGCCTGGGGGCCAGATCCGGCCCTCCAAGACCTTTAATCTGGCCCTCGGCTGATTTTCTACTCAAATATTTTAATTATATTTTCTATTAAAATATTGGTAATTTTCTGTGGTGTTTATCACGTCTCTGTACGTGGCCCCTCCCACCAGAGCAGCACAAATGAAGACTTGTCTCTTTCCAAACGCTCTTAAAGGACGATCGTTTTGACTGTTGACCGTGACACCCTCATCAGAAAAATGTCAAAAATGAGAAAAGTGGTGCCGAGTGCAGGATTTTCCAAGAAAAATTGACTTATTCCTGTTTACATACAAGTTCATGTTAAAACACGTGTTGAAATTGCATTTTTATTAAAGTTTCAGGTTGTTCATAATATTATAATATTTTGTGAAAGAAAGAGTTTTGTAATAGATTTCTGTAATAGATTTGCATTTATTTAATATTATAAAATATTAATATTTGAACTTATTGTTATTTTTGGGGTTTATATGACATGAGTTTTCTGATCCGGCCCTTTGAGATCAAAGTTGGTTGGATACGGCCCCCGGACCAAAATGAGTTTGACACCACTGCCCTAATTTTTCCAGTTATTTATTGCAATTCAAGTCGTGCAAGTCCAGCAAAGAGCTTAAAATTGTACAAAGGTAAGAACTGAACAGACAGAGGTTAAAAAATGCTAAAAGATACAAAACACAAGTCCAAGTTCTGCCAAAACTACCTCAGGAAAAAAGAACAAGATGGTAAAAGCTTGAAAACATTGGCGTGTCCAGCAGCACAGTGTCCAGACTTAAACCCCGTCGAGCTGGTTTGGGATGAACTGGACAGAAGAGTGAAGCGACCTACAACAATCTTAAAAAGGTCTTAAATTTCATGTTCCTAAATTAAGACCTTAAAAAGTCTTAAATTACGTTGTCCAAGTCTTATTTTTTCACAAAGGTCTTACATTTTATTAGTTTATTTTTTGTTTATTTGACCAGGCTGCAGTGCGATGTTAAATGAAGGGAGGAAAAAGAAAAGAACAACGTGAAATCATGTAATGTAAATGAACATCTAATGTGGAGTATGTGCAAACATTACTTAGTTTGTCTTGTTAGAATGTTATAAATTATTTTTTTACTATTTTACAAGCAGTGCATATGACTATAAATGAGTTCTGATTTTATAATGAAAGTGATTTTTGCTATTTAAAGCAGTGAGTAATGATCATTATTAGAATTGGGTTTGGTGTTTTTCGTCCACATAATGGGAGCGAAGTTGGTCTTAATTTTCATTTAAGTGGTCTTCAACAGGTCTTAAAAAAGTCTTAAATTTGGGGTAGTCAAACCTGGGGATTCTCTCTACAAGTGCCACACATTTATGGGAAATTCTGCTACAGACTTGGGAAGAACTTTCTGAAAAATATTTGATTTCTGTTGTAAAAAGAACGAGCCTCGAGTGTGTTCAGCTGTTCTATCTGTCAAAGTTGGACACTTTCATGAATCAAAAGTTTAGAATAACTTTTGGTCAACAGTAAAGAGTAAAAAACTGGAAAAAGTGTGGTGTTCTAAAACTTTTGACCGGTAGTGTTTATCGTACACCTACATATTTGGGGTTAATTGTCTCAAAAACAAATAAAAGTAGTACTCAGAAACTTCGTCATTCACTCACTTTTTGGATGAGAAACAAGATGAAGCAATATCCATAAACAAACCACTTCATCCAGTCACAGAAGATGAGCAAGTACAACCCCATTGTTGTCTGGAAAAGTTTGACATGTTCCTTTTGTGTGTTTTTTTTTTTTTTTTCAGGGATGAGTCGATAAAGAAGCTGCTGGAGATGCTGCAGAGTAAAGGTCTGTCGGCGCGTCAGACGGAGGAGGACCACGAGAGGACCAGACGCCTGGCAGACGCAGAGATGACCATCCACCAGCTGGAGGGGCTCCTGGAGCAGAGGGACAAGGAGATGCTCCAGCTCAGAGAGGTACAGGAAACACAGAAACAAATGAATAAATACATAGGTAGAGTTGATACCACAATAAAAATAACTACTACTTTTTTAGACATTACGTTGAAAAAATGCCTTAACCCTCTCAGGCTCAAATTAAATTTTAGTAACAGGAAAAAATCTGATATTTGGGGAAAATTATCATATGGGGTAATATACAATCCTGACTTTTTTTTTGAGACACCTTCACATCCAGTGTGTTCTGTTTTAGATTTGCAGTATTGGTTCAGTGTGGTAAATTAACACTGAAGACTGAAAATGATATGAACGTTAACTTTATGTGTTTACCACTTTTCATAACAATGAAAACATAAAGCAGAGTGTAACAGCTTTACAGTGGCACAACAACATCACTTTTTCATGTGGTTCTCCAAGAAACAATTTTTATCCTTTGTAAACAACAAAAGTACTTTGCACTTCTGACAGGACGTTTGCGTGTAGCCGTTCTTGCACAGTCTGCATCGTCCACGTTTATCAACATGGATGGGAAAAAAGGCTCCTGAGTAAAAAAAAAATCATAAAATATGGATTTGGAGTAAGTAGGTAATTGGCATTGAACTGTTGCATATCTGCAACACCAGCCTGGAGAGGGTTAATTGTTGATTTTATAATATCATATATATCAGTATTTCCAAAACTTTTTTTCCCTGGACCCATATTTTAAAAGTCACAAACCTCAAGTCAATAGACATTATTTGTAAATCACAAAATAAAAGTGGATTTGACCATTATTGAACATTAAAGAGGATATTTTATTGTTGACTGAGTGATCACGTCTCTGAACAATTAGTGTTACTCAAGTTTTAAACAATGAAAAACAAAAGTTGAACCAGCAATGAAAGGATCCATAAGTCGCTTATTTGGACATTAAATACAGAACATTTATTTTTCTTTTCAACATTCAATTGAACCAACAATATTGGCAAAAAATCGGCAATAAAATAATTACAGAAAAATTAGAAATTATACAAAGCATTTCTAATGAGACAGGTGGCTCTGTCTGTGTTATTGTGGCGTGTTCCAGTCCGTGGTGCAGGAGCAGAGCGCAGCAGCAGATCAGTGTCAGAACTGTAGACTGCAGAACTACATGCAGATCATGACAAGGCAACCAAAAAAAAATCTCTTGCGACCCACCTGAGTTTCACGACCCAGTCCTTGGGAAACAATGATATATATAGTACTAATTCTGATATGAATTAAATAATATTTCCAGTATAAATATATATAAGTATTAGGGATGGGCATGATTAATCGATTAATCGATAATTTGATCATTAAGAATTTCATCGATTACGTTAATTTTAATCGACAAACCGAATGTAGGTTGCTGTGTGTAGTGTGAACAAACAGGTGTGTACATGTGTCTCTGCATCAGAAGGAGCGAGACACAAACACAAACTGCAACGTACCGAAGCACAAATGTGTATTTAACGATGATTTGTACAAGAAATTCCACACTTTCCGTTGCGTTCGGGACAAGTGTGAGTCCATGTGCACAGTGTATAAAGCAGCACATATGTTTCTGTGTCCAGTGGGAAAAAGTTTTTCCAGGTGAGAGTCGCTCAATGTGGATGACGAGTCCCCACCTCCCTCCCCCCGTACGGTGTCCTGGTTTTGACAAACACAAATCTGGTCACACTAACCTGTATTCCACTGAGTCATGTCTTTTAATCCAACAGAAATTGAACCACATCAGCGACACAAGAGCTGGAGTTTTATCTTTCGCTTAGTTTATGCAAATTAGCGATGCGGTTTTAAGTTTCGTTTCTGTGAAGAGTTGCGCAAAACTGAATTAAACACATTATAATGTCAAACGGGCTGATGTGGCTCTAGAGTCGTTACGGTTTATATGTCGTAAAGTTGAATTTATTTATGCAGATTAGTAGTGCAGATAGTAATAATAATGATGATCATTTTAATATAAAAACGTTAATGATTAATCGATAATCGATCGTTAATTCTTCCGACGATCGATTAAGAAAATTTCATCGAATGCCCATCCCTAATAAGTATATATCTGTACACCAGGGGTCCCAAACCTTTTTCCTCGTGTCGAATATTCCAGAGCGCTACAAATTTTTGTGGTCACAGGAAATAAAAAGTGTATATAAGAGCCATGGGAAAGACTTAGACGAGGTTCAGTTACATAAAACATAGAACATAAACCATTATTTATGTACAAGTGCACAAATTCAGGCATCAAAATGATAGATTTACAGTAATAATTGGCATTTAATTCATCAAATTTGAGCCAATGATGTTCTTTTTGTCTTCTTATATACTTGAACTTCTTAGGTTCTTTTTAAAGACAGTGCAGTGAAGTGTATTTACCTTGTTGACATGTTTCGGCTGCTGCATCTTCAGAACTGTCACGGTGTTGGTGGTGACGTGTCGTATATCAGCTGTTGTTACTTCCTGTAGGCGTGGTCAGACCTGATGGACCCGGCAGGTCGCTCAGACTGACCACGCCTCCCGTCGCCCGGTGTCTCTGGAGGAGGGTGTCCCAGGTGTGTGAAAGGAGGAACGCTCCGTCATCACTGTTAACTCTGTCCGTGCCTCGTTTCCTGATTTCAATGGCCTCCCTGATCCAGCGTTTGAACTTGTTGTTTTCCGATCCAACAGCAGCCGAAACATGTCAACAAGGTCATTATTGCATTGTCTTTAAAAAGAACCTAAGAAGTCATCAAATTTGAGTTATTCAGGACATTACATGTAATTCAGGAATCCATTCGTGAGCTACTTGGAGACTCCTGCTGTACACAACATCTGTTTATACACTGTTTTGACAAATCTAACTGGGAATCCTTAAAAATAACGTTAAGTTTAGTTTAGTCTCTGTTTGAAGAGACACTGTACAGAGACTGAACGCTCGTACAAACACCAAATTATAGTTTAACAGCTGGTTTCTGCAGTCCCTGATTTACACAAACACAATGATAAAAAGCATTTATACTCACTCAGTCAACAATAAGAACAATTCTCTCTGACCCACACACTCTGACACATCATTAGATATTTATAAAATCACGAGTTTCATCTTATTTAATACGTATTAACCTAGTGTTTCCACATTTCACAATTGCATCAGTCCATAATGTAAATAAATAAAACAATAAACAAGTGTTACACAGTTCACAAGTGTGTTTTATTGCACATTTTAACACAATTTGTAGGCAGTGTTGGGAGTAACAGATTACATGTACCAGAGTTAAGTAATCAGAGTACAAATTATGAGTAACTGTATTCAGTTACAGTTACTGTTTCAGGGAGTGGTAATTGGATTACAGTTACTTTGTTGAAATAAATGGATTACATGACGGTATTTTCCTGTTTTCACATTTTGGACTAAACCAGGACGAAAACCAGGACTAAACCGGGACTAAACCAGATCTAAACCAGGACTAAACCAGGTCTAAACCAGGACTAAACCAGGTCTAAACCAGGACTAAACCAGGTCTAAACCACTAAACCAGTCTAAACCAGGACTAAACCAGGTCTAAACCAGGACTAAACCAGGTCTAAACCAGGTCTAAACCAGGACAAAACCAGGACAAAACCAGGACTAAACCAGGACTAAACCAGATCTAAACCAGGACGAAACCAGGTCTAAACTAGGACTAAAACCAGGACTAAACCAGGACTGAACCAGGACTAAAACCAGGACTGAACCAAGACTGAACCAGGACTGAACCAGGACTGAACCAGGTCTAAACCAGATCTAAACCAGGACTAAACCAGGACTAAACCAGGTCTAAACCAAAGCTAAAACCAGGACTAAAACCAGGACTAAACCAGGTCTAAACCAGGACTAAACCAAAGCTAAAACCAGGACTAAACCAGGACTAAACCAAAGCTAAAACTAGGACTAAATCAGGACTGAACCAGGACTAAACTAGGTCTAAACAAGAGCTAAAATCAGGACTAAACCAGGACTAAAACCAGGACTAAAACCAGGACTAAACCAGGTCTAAACCAGGTCTAAACCAGGACTAAACCAGGACTAAACCAGGACTAAAACCAGGACTAAACCAGGACTAAACCAGGACTAAAAGGACAGTAAACAAAAGTCTGTTCATGGAGACTTGGGCTGAACAGACAATTTGAAGAAAACAAACAATGAATTTTCAGGATGTGGTTTGTTACATTCATGTAGTTTTCAAAATCATGACAATATCAAGTAATCCAAAGTATTCAGATTACATTACTCACTTTAAGTAATTTAATGGATTACGTTACAAACTACATTTTGGGGTGTGTAATCTGTAATCTGTAGGGGAATACATTTTAAAAGTAAACTTCCCAACACTTCTCCTCGCTCTTTATTATTATTAACATTCCATAAATGTGCTTTTATTCCCACAGTTTTGTTTTTCTGACCAAATCTTTGTTTTGTTTTTCGTATTTCGACTACTCGCCCGTCTTCCTCAGAGTCACAAAGTTTGTTCTGGACATTTTTTTCATAAATGTGGGCTCACCAAGATGATTTGTACCCATCATTTTGCCCTACGCCCCTGCCCAGCGTGGTCATGTGACGCTGCTGTGACCACTGAGCGTTGTTCAAAACATTTCCATCTGATAACCGCGCTGATGCCGAGCTATTTTAAGACGAGTTGTTTTTTTTTAATACTGAAAGAAAAAACATTTTAGGTCACAAGACGTTTTCCTTGAGGCTCTTGGAGTGATCCCCATGAGGTCTGTGGCTGTGGGTCTCAGCGCTGAAACAGATGTGGCCCTGCACAAATCATATCCCGTCTTTACCATCATCAGGAACTCATTTCAACTAATTATGTAATAAACTCACTCCCAGCGAACCGTGTGAAACGAAAGAAGCGTACATTTAGATGAATCGGGGTCGCCATCTAGTGGAGAAGTGGTGTAAGTGTAAGTAGATGTACAACAGTCTGACATACGGAGACGGACAAAAGACTAGTAGATTTAAACACAAAATAACACTGAAATTAAACAATGAGTGAGGGAAAGTGAGTGCCAGTGCCCTAAGTCACACCATTTTGAACTAATTATAAAAACTATAAAAGTATTAATTAGGAGGGGTGTAAGAAAAATTTATTCAGTGATTATATTATTATATTTTTCTTAAAGTTTCAGGTTGTTCATAATATTATAATATTTTGTAAAAGAAAGAGTTTTGTAATAGATTTCTGTAATAGATTTGCATTTATTTAATATTATAAAATATTAATATTTGAACTTCTTGTTATTTTTGGGGTTTATATGACATGAGTTTTCTGATCCGGCCCCTTTGGGATCAAAGTTGGTTGGATACGGCCCCCGAAACAAAATGAGTTTGACACCCCTGACCTAAGGCAATCAAAACACATAATAATAATAATAATAATAATAATAATAATAATGAGAATGAAATATTAATTATAGTAGAAAAATCATTGAATAATAATAAAAAATAATATTTTTCTATAATTTTTCTCTTATTTTGTTCTTATTATTACTCAATTATTTTTCATTAGTTACATTCACTGTACTCATGATTTAAAAAAATATAGAAAATATATTTCATACAATTGTGTTCTTTTGAACTTGTAGTTAACTGTATTATTCTGTATTAATTAATGTATTAATAAATTGATAAAATGTGTGTCCTTTATAGTGGACACTGAGTTAACCAGTCGATCTTTTAAGTATTTTTAGATCGACTCTTAATGTTGGGACTAGGTTCCTTTGTCTAAATAGGGCTGCGCCACTATCATGTCTAGGATAAAAAAAAAAAAAAAAAAAAAGGCATTATTGTGTGACTGTAAGACCACAATATGGGGAAAAAAAAAACAAACAAAATAAAAAATAAAATATATATGACAAAAAATGTAAAAAAATCAATAGGAGTTAGTTTGTGGCTGCACAGTAAAGATGTTGGTCATCAAAAAGTTATTATTATTAAGTTAAAGTCACATGGATTTAACACCAGAATGTCCCCAGCGTCCATTACAGAGGACGTGTTATAAAATTATAAATAAAAATAAAATTAACAAAGTCTAAATACTAAGATGTTCATTTACCTCCAAATAGATAGAAAAATCACCCCAAAAAACATATTGCAATACACTTTTTTTCTTCAGGTCCCAGGAGGATATACCATTGACTGTTTTAGTATCGGGACATATCGTGATATTCTGAATCGTGATATGTATCGTATCGTCAGACTCATGGCAATGCACACTCCTACTAATTAGAAAAACAAAACACTTAGTAACAATAAGGGAAGCTGGACCCATTATGCAAATTTTAAACGGCTACAGTGTGAGTGAGACCGAAATAATTGACATAATTATTCTGTCATTTCTGGGTTTTCTGTTGCCTCTTGTTGCATCAGGTCATTTCCCCCGTAACAATGTTTATGAAGCTCTGCAAAGTCTTATTAACGCTAATTTATGGAAGCATTAACGTGGAGAATTGGAATTTGAAACACAATTTTTTCACGGATTACAATAAAAATAGAAAACTGCTTGAGAAATTGCAGTTTAAAGCGGCAAATTGATGCAAGCAGCAAATTGTCTCTGTCTGACAGTGATAAAAATACAACAACAGAGCAGATGTCACGAAACTTAAACTTAAATATTACACAAAATTGGACTCTTCTGAGCTTTAAATCGTGTTATAATGTTGTTACCTTATCAAATCAGACCTGAAGTTGTGTTTTGTTTCATTCACACGTTTAAGTAATTCTTTATTATAGCTATTTTTTACTTTTTGTTTGGTTGAGATTGGCAACTTTTAAATCACAATATTTCCTTCATTGTTCATTATAAATATATACTTTTTTTTTTTTTTTTTTTTTTTTACAGATTGTAGTGTATCCAGTAGGGGTGTGCAAAAATACTGAAATAGCCATCGCCCAAACTATTTTTTATTCCCTTCATGTAATAAAGGACTTTTCATATTCTCAGTGGGAGTGCCTCGGGTTTGTACCTTACCCATTTTTACATTTTCCTGTAAGGGTAATTTTCTGTTCTAAGACGACTGCCTTAACCCTCGTAGACCTGTACTGTTATTTTTACTCTTTTAAGACCCAGTGAAGTGAAGCGCTCCACCTCTTTTGTTTTATAATTTTTTTAGTATATTTTACTAAATAATTTTGTTACAGTGCTGCAGTTTTGTTGCTTTTTGAGTGGAAGGAAACTCGTTTATGCGACACATTTGATATTAAAATATTTGTGTTTCATATGAACTTTTGCACAAGAAATGGTTTAACAAAGACTTTAAGTATCACAGCCACGATTTAATCTTTATTTTTTTGTATCGAATTGTAGTTTAAATAATATTTGAAATATATCGTATTAAATCGTATCGAATAGGGGTGAAACGATATCCAAGTTCTCACGATACGATATCGTCACAGTATGAACCTCACAGTGCGATATTTATTGCGACATCATGGGAAAGCTCACGATTAGGTTTGCAACAATATCCAAATCTCTCGGTACGATATTTTCACAATATACATCTCATGAATCCGTGAATCATTCATTCATTTGTTTTTCAATATAAAACCAAAAATAAGAAAACGAAAAAAACAACAGTTTTTTTCAACAGAAAAAACGGATAACGGCCGTTTCCCGTTTACGTGACTTACGTGACTGCGATGTTGGACTTTTGCACTGCATACGGACTGAACCAGGACTGATCCTGGTCCGGGACCAGACCGGAACCAGACCAGGACTGAAACCGGGACCAGACTGGGACCAGGCCGGGACCAGACTGGGACCAGGCCGGGACCAGGCCAGGACCAGACCGGAACCAGACCAGGACTGAAACCGGGACCAGACCGGGACCAGACCGGAACCAGACCAGGACTGAAACCGGGACCAGACTGGGACCAGGCCAGGACCAGGCCAGGACCAGAGCGGAGGCTCAGAGCCCACGGCAGGGTCGGAGCTCGAAGCTGAGGCTCGGACCCTGCGGAGACACGGAGTCAAAGCTTGGAGTCTGCTCTGGTCCCGCTCTGGTCCCGCTCTGGTCCCGCTCTGGTCCCGCTCTGGTCCCGCTCTGGTCCCGGTCTGTTCCCAGTCTGGTCCCGGACCTGGATCAGTCCTGGTTCAATCTGCATGCGGTGCAAAAGTCCAGCATCGCAGTCACGGAAGTCACGTAAACAGTTATCCGTTTTTTCCATTCTTCATTTAAACACAAAATCAAAAACTGAAAAAACAAATCATTATCTGTTTTTTCATTTTTGGTTTGGGAGACAAATAATGAAGAAAACTGTTGTTTTTTCATTTTCTTAATTTTGGTTTTATATTGAAAAACGAATGTACTTCCCTCTGTCTTTTTTTTTCCAGCTATTGCTGCACCATAACTCGTCATTTCAGCAAAGAGACTTGTAATTCGATATTTTGTGATGGTCCACGATATTATTGTGAAAACTTTTGACGATACGATATCACGATATTTCGGTTATTGTTACATCCCTAGTATCGTATCGTAAGCTCATTGTCTCAGGATATGTATCGTGGTTCCTACATCTACATCTCCCATGATTCATTTCAGCGCAGACAACATGAAGAAATATGTTTTAGACCTGAATTCTTGGGATTATGACAGAAATAACTCACACCAAAATCTTCTCAGGGTGTTTTAAAAGGCAAAAAGCGTCCTACCTACAATTATATCAGCCTCTTTAAAAATATCGCAATAAATATCGTACCGTGAGATTTGGATATCGTTGCGTCCCCAGTATCAGTGAGCTCTGGCCCTCTGGCTCTGGCTCCATTCACTTGCATTTGTCGTACGGTGCATTAGCCGCTTTTGTCGTTACTGTACGGACCATAGAGGAGCAGTGGTGCGTTCACTGACCTCCTCTCTCCTCCTTTCATTTCCTCTTTTTGTCTGCTCCCCTTTTTTTCCCCTCCTCCGTGTATCTCTCTCTCTTCTCTTCTTCATTTGAGTTACGACGCTTTCACCAGCAAACATTCCACTGTAGATTTATTTTAATTTTAAAATACTATTTGGATTTTATTGGAGAAATATTTGTAAACACATTTTTCGAAAAATTAATTCAAATTTATGAATCGTTTTTGCAGAATAAATGTCTTGTTTTGGAATATTTATTTCTGTGGACTTGTTTTCAACGTGAAGACATCGTGTTTGGAGCTTAATTTTTTTCTTTTTGTCAATTATTTTTGTCATGATTTTTAAATTTTCAGATTTTAACCATGAATAGGACTTTTATATGACTTAAATCGTTTAAATTTTTTACGTAATCATAATATTTTTTAAGAGTAGAAGAGTGAAGAGTGTTGTGTTTTTCTTTTTTTTTCTTTATTTTTTGCACGAGTTAAAATTTTTCACAATGTGGGACGGAAGAATCGACCCGCGCCGACTCAAATCCGGCGCCAGAAAGCCTTCTCTTCCACCCCTCCGCCGCTATCCCCATCTCCCCCTCGTTCCCCGTCTCGCCCTCCGTCCCGATCCCGCCTTTCCACGTGTCTCCCCCGTACCGCCCCTCGCCGCTCTCCGCCTCCCCCTCCGCCCGTCACCCGCCTCTCCGCTCCTCTCCCTCCTTCCCCGCGCACTCCCCGCCCTCCGTCCGCCACGGCTGCCCCCCCCACTACCCGTCGTTCGCGGCCGCGTCCGCCCACCCGTCGCTCCACCACTCGCCCTCCTTCCCCGCGCCCGCCCCGAGGCCCGCGCCCGCCGTCCAGCCGTCTCTCCACCCGTTCCCGCCTCCTCCGCCGGTCGTGGTGGCGGTGGCTTCCTCGGCGGGGGTGACAGGTGCCCCCCCCCGCCCCTCGTCCTCGCCCGCCGTAGCTCACCGCGCGGTCCACTCCCTCTCCCCGGTCTCGTTCGCTGACCATTCGTTGTGTAATCCTCAGGAGCTGCACCGGAGATACGAGGCGGCTCCAGAGTCCACCAAGACCAAAGCCCTGCAGACCGTCATCGAGATGAAGGTAAAACACGGCTTTAATACTGTTTTCAGTTACTTAAAAGTGCACTACGGAACTTTTCGGTTGCTTGTTTCTATGGATATGTCATTGCTCTGCCTGGAATGTTCCACAGTGTGACATTAAACAGCTCTACTTTACATTTATTCAACTACAGGCGGGTTTATAGCTCAAAAATACCAAAAAAACAGGCATTCTGACTGTGAGCGGGGTCGCCTCTCCACAGATCTGACCTGTCACTTGGTCTTGGTTTGGTCTCCGTGAAGATAGAAAGGTTTAATGCCACACTGTGGAACATTCTAGACCAGCGATTTTCAATAGGTGAGGCGCCAAAGAGCCACTGGGGAGGAGCGACACAGGCGGACTAAATTAGACCTGGTTTAGATCTGGTTTAGATCTGGTTTAGATCTGGTTTAGACCTGGTTTAGTCCTGGTTTAGACCTGGTTTAGACCTGGTTTAGTCCTGGTTTAGTCCTGGTTTAGTCCTGGTTTAGACCTGGTTTAGACCTGGTTTAGTCCTGGTTTAGTCCTAGTTTAGACCTGGTTTAGATCCTGGTTTAGTCCTGGTTTAGTCCTGGTTTAGACCTGGTTTAGACCTGGTTTAGTCCTGGTTTAGTCCTAGTTTAGACCTGGTTTATTCCTGGTTTAGTCCTGGTTTAGACCTGGTTTTAGTCCTGGTTTAGTCCTGGTTTAGTCCTGGTTTAGTCCTAGTTTAGACCTGGTTTAGTCCTGGTTTAGACCTGGTTTAGACCTGGTTTAGTCCTGGTTTAGTCCTGGTTTTAGACCCTGGTTTTAGTTTTGGTTTAGTCCTGGTTTAGACCTGGTTTAGTCCTGGTTTAGACCTGGTTTAGACCTGGTTTAGACCTGGTGGTTTAGTCCTGGTTTAGTCCTGGTTTAGACCTGGTTTAGTCCTGGTTTAGACCTGGTTTAGACCTGGTTTTAGTCCTGGTTTAGACCTGGTTTAGTCCTGGTTTTAGTCCTGGTTTAGTCCTGGTTTAGACCTGGTTTAGTCCTGGTTTAGACCTGGTTTAGACCTGGTTTTAGTCCTGGTTTAGTCCTGGTTCAGACCTGGTTTAGTCCTGGTTTAGACCTGGTTTAGACCTGGTTTAGACCTGGTTTAGTCCTGGTTTAGACCTGGTTTAGACCTGGTTTAGTCCTGGTTTAGTCCTGGTTTAGTCCTGGTTTAGACCTGGTTTAGACCTGGTTTAGTCCTGGTTTAGTCCTGGTTTAGTCCTGGTTTCAGACCTGGTTTAGACCTGGTTTTAGTCCTGGTTTAGTCCTGGTTTAGTCCTGGTTCAGACCTGGTTTAGACCTGGTTTAGTCCTGGTCCTGGTTTAGTCCTGGTTTAGTCCTGGTTTAGACCTGGTTTAGTCCTGTTTTAGACCTGGTTTAGTTTAGTCCTGGTTTAGTCCTGGTTTAGTCCTGGTTTAGTCCTGGTTTAGACCTGGTTTAGTCCTGGTTTTAGTCCTGGTTTAGTTCCTGGTTTAGACCTGGTTTAGTCCTGGTTTAGACCTGGTTTAGTCCTGGTTTTAGTCCTGGTTTAGTCCTGGTTTAGACCTGGTTTAGTCCTGGTTTTAGACCTGGTTTAGTCCTGGTTTAGTCCTGGTTTAGACCTGGTTTAGTCCTGGTTTTAGTCCTGGTTTAGACCTGGTTTAGACCTGGTTTAGACCTGGTTTAGACCTGGTTTAGACCTGGTTTAGTCCTGGTTTTAGACCTGGTTCAGACCTGGTTTCAGACCTTGGTTTAGTCCTGGTTTAGACCTGGTTTAGACCTGGTTTAGTCCTGGTTTAGACCTGTTTAGACCTGGTTTAGACCTGGTTTAGACCTGGTTTAGTCCTGGTTTAGACCTGGTTTAGTCCTGGTTTAGACCTGGTTTAGTCCTGGTTTTAGTCCTGGTTTAGACCTGGTTTAGTCCTGGTTTTAGTCCTGGTTTAGACCTGGTTTAGACCTGGTTTAGTCCTGGTTTCCTGGTTTAGACCTGGTTTAGACCTGGTTTAGTCCTGGTTTAGACCTGGTTTAGTCCTGGTTTAGACCTGGTTTAGACCTGGTTTAGTCCTGGTTCAGACCTGGTTCAGACCTGGTTTAGACCTGGTTTAGTCCTGGTTTAGACCTGGTTTAGACCTGGTTTAGACCTGGTTTAGTCCTGGTTCAGACCTGGTTTAGACCTGGTTTAGACCTGGTTTAGACCTGGTTAGACCTGGGTTAGACCTGGTTTTAGTCCTGGTTCAGACCTGGTTTAGACCTGGTTTAGACCTGGTTCAGACCTGGTTTAGACCTGGTTTAGACCTGGTTTCAGACCTGGTTTAGTTGTGGAGGTTCTGTCGGTAGACTGTTCACAGTAGAACAGGCGTCTCCAACCTTTTTCCTCTGGTGAGTTTCCTGAAGAAAACTACAGTCACCAGAAACTGAGAAAGTAGAAGAGTAGAAGAGCCTTAGGTGGATTACAGATGCTTATTAAACATAAACCATTGTCCATTTATTATTTAGTTACAAGTCATGCATCAAAATAACACATGTACAATGGTAATTAATCAGAATCATTAAATAATTTCCAGTAAATGTGCGTGGAATTAGACTAAACAGATTCAAACATCCCTCACATGTTAAAATGTACGTGTGTTTCTGTTTCCAGGATGCAAAGATCAGCTCTATGGAGCGAGGGATGAGGGAGCTGGAGGAGGAGGTGAACATGCTGAAGTCGAACGGAGCTCTGAGCAGTGAAGAGAGAGAAGAGGAGATCAAACAGATGGAGGTGTACAGGTCCCACACCAAGTTCATGAAGAACAAGGTCAGACTCACAAAACACTTCCTGTTCATTTAAACTGTGGACAAACTCGACATATATCTGCATTTCTATTCTGAAGAACGTTTAATTTAGCACTAGAAGATTATTTTCTTTCTTGCTTGGTGGGTGAGCAGGCTTTGGGGGCTCCCTGCAATACCTCTGAGGCCCTCCAGGTGGCCCCAGACCCCACTTTAGTAATCACAGGTTTAAGGCATTAATAATAAGTAACTTTACAGAAGATGCGTTTAAATGTACCGTAAATTCCGGACTATAAGCCGCTACTTCAGGGGTGTCAAACTCATTTTGGTCCGGGGGCCGTATCCAACCTACTTTGATCCCAAAGGGCCCGGATCAGAAAACTCATGTCATATAAACCCCAAAAATAACAATAAGTTCAAATATTTGTGCAGAAAAACACAAATCTATTACAGAAATCTTTTTTAACTGATGAACTCTTTCTTTTACAAAATATTATAATATTATGAACAACCTGAAACTTTATGAAAAATGCAATTTCAACATAATGTTTTTTACGATAACTTGCAAATAGGAATAAGTCAATTTTTCTTGGAAAATCCTGCACTCGGCTCCACTTTTCTCATTTTAGACATTTTTCTGATGAGGGTGTCACGGTCAACAGTCAAAACGATCGTCCTTTAAGAGCGTTTGGAAAGAGACAAGTCTTCATTTGTGCTGCTCTGGTGGGAGGGGCCACGTACAGAGACGCTGGAGATGCTGCTGTGATAAACACCACAGAAAATTAACAATATTTTAATAGAAAATATTATTAAAAATATTTTAGTAGAAAATCAGCGAGGGCCAGATTAAAGGTCTTGAAGGGCTGGATGTTTGACACCCCTGCGCTACTTTTTTTTCAGACTTTGAACGCAGCGGCGAATAAAACGATGTGGGGAATATAAACGGATTGTTTGTTTGGCACATTGTCCATTCATATATACAGTCTATGGTTTGGCAACACAGCGGATACGTGCAGCCTGAGTGCCGACAACACCACTGTCTGTGCGGTTAGACATGGATGGATGTTGTCAGGGCACTAAAACAGTTTATCGCCGTGTGATAAAATAAGTTCTGATGCTAAATGAACATTAGTGAGGGGGATACGTCTTACCCGTCTGTGTAAATGACGAGAAGAAACGTCTCAAATTTCAGTAGTTGGACATCCACTCAAACCTGATCGATAGAACTAACCCCGCCCCCTGAGAGAGTCTGAAATCTGCTGAAACCCTCCAAGACACTGACATGATGCAGACAGGACAGAGACTCTTTCTGCAGGAGACATGTGCAGTAGAGCGCGAGGAGAGACAGGGGAGATGCGCCGGGGAAGTTTTTAACAGTTATTTTGCGCTTCATGCACACACCCTCCTCATGAAAAACACAGAGAAATACAGATGATGCAGCTTTTAAGTTAAACTCGACTGATCCGACTGTCGAAGAAGGAAACAGAGCTGCTGCACGTGAACTCGCCATCAGTGAGTCGATGGTGAGACGTTGGCGACGGCAGCGTGACGAACTGACTCAATGCAAAAAAACGACAAAAGCTTTCAGAGGCGATAAAAGCAGATGTCCCAAACTTGAAAACTTTCTCTGAAAGACGTGGACTAGAGGTCTACGCAGGACAGAATTTTCAGTCCCGCTCCCGCCCGCGTCTCCGATATTTTTTCCCCTCTCCCGCCCGCAAGTCCCGCAGGATGGGAATTTGCTTTCTTAAGCTCTAATCAAATGAGGAGAAGCTGAAAGGAATTGGACTGTGTACGGGAGGAGGCGCGGTGGGCGGTCCGGCGGCATGGTTAAGTCCTGGCTAAATCCTGTTTTTGTTTTAGTCCTGGTTTAGTGGCGCAGTCCGCACGTCGTACAGGAGGAGGGACTGTCCACGCAGGCCTATGGGATGGAGGGGACTGTCTGTGCGACGTACGGGACAGGGGGACGGTCTGCTGCTTAAAATGTTTTTAGTAATGCCAAATAAAATATCCAGCACAAATTATGCATGATAGTCTTACATTCATCATTTGTATATTTTACTTTACACTACATTACTACAGTTTATCATCCCACCCGCCCGCCCGCATTGTGCAGTCCCGCTCCAGCCCGCGCCCACAGTGACCTTTCATAATGTGTCCCGCGTCGCACTGATTTGCAGCGCTCTAACGTGGACACCTGCGGCTTATATTCAGGTGCAGCCTATATATGTACAATTAAAAAATTTAGTTAAAATTTTGTTGATGCGGCTTATATTCAGGTGCGCTCAATAGTCCGGAAAATACGGTAAATCACTTGTGCATTTATAAACATGCTGTTGGTACTTTTTTAGCATCATTTCTCTGCATATTTTTGTGATTGTTGTGGCCCGTCCTTTTGGTTGCCAAGGGAGATAAGTGTATTTAGAGTAGTCTGGAAACAACATGATGTCATAAAGTAATAATATTCGTGTGTGATTTATGCAAACAAACATTGGGCACTTTTCCTGGTTGCCGTGGTTACCTATGGCTCAGACTGTATAGCGCAGTGGGCGGGGCTGTTGACGTTGTGGTCCCGCCCCCTCCTCAGGTTGAGCAGCTGAAGGCGGAGCTGAGCCAGAGCCGCTCAGAGAAGGAGGAGCTAAACCAGCGGGTGTGTGAACTGCAGCGGGAGGTGCCCTCAGTAAGAGTCTGCTCCGTGTGCCCTCCGCCTTCTCTCGCTCTCCTTTTCTTTTCTCTGTCTTTCTCCTCCCTTCCTCTCCTCTTTAGCTCTAGATTCCTGTTGTGGCGCTTTTACAGTTGGACGTTTTCAGACAGCATCAACCAACTACCTGCTACTGCTACTGTTCACAATAAATATCATGATCCCCGCACAGATAGACGAGCTCAAAGGTGCAATATGTAACTTTTCTTCTTTTCCTGCGTGTCTCCATGGAGATTTTAATGCTTTGCTTTGAACATTCCACAATATATCATTAAACATATAGTCGGGCTGGTGCCTCCGCTCAATTTCATTTCTCTTCAGCGACTAGGTCAGGAATCGGAATACACTAGACGGTTCACAAAAACCCCGAAAGTGCGAGTTCGGGCACCAGCCAATCAGTGAAGAGACGTACATTCTGTGTCGGCAACAGTTCCCGAGATCGAGGATTTAAAGATGAAACAAAGAGAATGTTTGGTGAATTTTATCAAGGGGAAAGACGTTACTGTCCTTCTTCCTACAGGATTTGGGAAAAGCTTAATATACCAGTTAGCTCCGTTAGTGGCGCATTACATACATCACGGCCAAAAAGCAGCAATTTGTTAAATTAAAAAAGAACCCGCCTACCGTCGAGAGAAGGAATTGATTGACTGATTTGTTTTTATTTCGAGTTTGTGCCAAGAGAGAAACAATAATCATGTATACTACACATGCAATGTAAACAACAGAAAAGCACGTTTCTCGAAAAGGAGTGGGAAGAAGAAAAACTTATATTAACCCGCCCCTGTTCATGACATAATCCTAATGCTGCGAGGTCAGACGGTTTCCACAAAGTGAAACCGGCTGATGAATCAGGCTTTTAAACATATCCATCTCCTTTGGAAATAATACCACCAGACTATCTTACGAATGAGATCTGTCGAGATATTAACAGTGAAAAGCTGTTCACCTTTATGAAAATAATACTAGGTTAATGTCTTAATTCTGTGGAACATTCCTGGCAAAGCTACAACATCTCCTTAGAGCAGGAGTCTCCAACCAGTAGCTCTCCACCCCCTTCCAAGTAGCTCGCCAAGGGATTTCTGAATTATATATATATTGCGCTGAATAACTCAAATTTGATTGATTAAATGCCTATTTCCTTTGTAAATGTATAATTTTGATGCCTAATTTTGTGCCCTGATAACTGGATAATGGGTTATGTTTTATAGACATCTAACTGTATCTTCAGCTCACCATGGCTCTTATGTCTATACAATTTCTGGTGACTGCTGGCATTTTAATTTTACACAAAGTAGCTCACAGAAGGAAAAAGTTGGAGACCCCTGCCTTGGAGACATATGGTGGACCCTCCAACTGAAAAGTTACATAGTGCACCTTTAAAAAGTCAGGAGCATTGGTCCAGTTTGTGCTCTGTTCAGTGCTCATGGGAGTGTCTAAAAACTAAACATACTCTAATAACTGTGGCAGAGTCTGTGGAGCATTTTAAATTCCCCTTGGGATCTGGGGGTAGATGTCGTACACCGACCTCAAGGGGCATCACGGCCCCATCCACACTAGTTCGTATTCGAGTCGTTATTGCTGTGGATGCAGTGTTCGTCCAAACTAATCCGACTGAAAACGGCTCCAGAGACGGAACGAATTCATTTGAGTACAGATCTGATCCAGCACTGTGTGGACACCTGAAAACGCTGATACACTGATGTAGGTCTGTGAGCCGTGAAGTAATTCACTGCCAAAACACTAAGAGGCTTAAATATATGTCCATTCATATAAACAGTCTGTGTGTACGACCTGCAGACGTATAATCTCTGAAAAGTTTAACATGAACCATCTCCAACGCGACAGAAGCACAGGACAGACTCACCATCATCAGAACACTCCTCTGTCACAGAAAGAACACTCATATTCCACTGAGTCGTGTCCTTTAGTGCAACAGAAGTTGAACCGCATCAGCGCACAAGGAGCGAGCTGTTTTTTTGAGCGCTCAGTTTATGCAAATGAGCCATGAGGTTTTAAGTTTCATTTCTGTAAAACGTAAACAAATGTGCTCAAAGCTGTGTGGATAGGGAAGGATTGCGGACACAGAAACGACGTGTCTGGACGCAAATAGTTTCCGATACAAAAACAAACACCAGAGATTCAGAGGAGAGTAACAGACACAGAGACGTGATGCTGTCTGGGGGGAAATCCGTCATCTCTTAGTTGTTTGTAGCTGTCTGAACTTTTGCCAATAGCGTAACGTACTGGAGACAAACTGCAGAGTGCTGAGTTTAACCTGCTTCTTTCTCCTCCTCGCATGAGTTTGGTCTGAGCTCTGGGCTTGTGTTTTCAGGAGGCTTTCGTCCGTCGTGTGGGACAGTGCTGCTCTGCTCTAGTTACAGTTACAGTAGTTTGACCTGTGCATCCAACATTAACCCTCGTTGTTCATGTTAAAGACACCTGCTTGTCTCCATGGAGATGTTATTGCTTTTAATTAGAATATCCCACACTATGGCTTTAAATTATCCATCGTCATTTATTAAATTGCATTAGTTTTCTTGCTAAAACTACCTTAACGACATGTAGATGGGCCCGGTCAAGCAGAAGTAAACAGCAAGGCCAAAAATTGAAGTGAATGCATCTGATATAAAAATGTATTGAACAGATACATATGTACTCTAGTTTATGAAACTGTTGACCTTTTTTCTGTACCATTTTTGGTTCTAAAGTTCCATATGTTTTAAACAGACCATGTATGAAACATGGAACAAAAATTATTTCCCAAATTTCAAAGACCTGCAAATCATGTAAATAAATGGATGTATTTCATCATATCTTGTGTTATTCCATCTTTGAACTGTTGATGAAGGTACATGATTTTTCAAAAAAAAAAAAGTATTTAAAATGATAAAAATTTGCTTGGAAGGACTGACATATTTTATAGAAATAGTTTCCTTTCATTTTGAAGTAATATTAAAGTATTCAGAAGAAAAAAGTTGACAAATTATGTAAAATCCTGCACCTTCTACTTGTGTTTGCACAATTTTCCCTCCGTTACTTTTCCCTCCGTTACCATGACCTTTCTTAATAAAAAATCTCATGACTCAAAAAGTAAGAGGTTTTTCATCCTAATCTTGTACCATATGGTAGAAAACTATATGAAGCAAATATTCAAACCAGTTTGTTAAGGATATGTAAGTGAGAACCAAGAGTTATCACTGTTTGGATTTATTGCCCAAAAAGTGCTGCATATTTCATTCCCTCCGTTACCGACATGAGTTTTTTTAATTTTTTGTCAACAACTTGAAAGAATATCACAGGTTTAACTTGACCCTGTTGGAGTGTAACTCTTTCCTACATTCTGATACTTTACTTATTTCAATAGTTCCTCTAGTTTCTGAATAAGAGACATTTGAATGTCAAAAATCTGCCCCTGTTTCCCTCCGTTACCACTTGACTGGACCCAGATACTAAGAGCAGGGTCATCTCTCCACAGATCTGACCTGTAACTTGGTCTAGTGGTGTCACCTGCTCGTTTCCATAGAGATACTCATATATAATTTAATGCCATACTGTGAAATATTCCAGTAACATCTCCATGACACAAACAGGCGTCAGATTGCACCTTTAAATAGAAACTGAAGGAAATCCAGGCTTGTACTGTTTTAATAAAGTAGTGTGTGATTTGCTGTGACGTTTCTCTTCGTTTCATTTTTCATTTTGTTTGTGTTTTCTTTCTTCTTGTGTGTGTTGTTCGTCGTTCAGATGGAGCAGGCCAAGCAGGACCTGAATCGAAAGGACAGTGAGCTGTTGGGCTTGAGGACCAAACTGGAGACTCTGAACAATCAGTTTTCTGACAGTAAACAACATGTGGACGTGCTCAAAGAGTCTCTCACTGCCAAAGAACAGAGAGCTGCCATCCTACAGACGGAGGTATGTGCTCGGATCACGTCACAACATTCCACAGGGCAATTATTTAATACGATGGGGGCAGATAAAATGAGTTTTGTTAAAGGGTTTATATTACGCTATTTCAGATCTGTGTTATAATTAGGGGTGTCAAATTATCGCGTTAATTGCGATTAATTAATTACAGTCATATTTAGCGCGTTATGTTTTTTAATCGCGTTAATCTCATTTTTAATCTCTAACATTAGTGTTTCTGTATGCGAGTTGCTTTATTATAAAACCTGTTTTAACAACACACACACACACACAAAAAAAAAAAACCACATTTATACATTTTTTTATTTCGGTAATTCCACTCATTGCCGGAAACCCACATAAAACGCGCGCAGTAAGAGCGATGTAAACGTCATGTTAACGTTGGCGGCGTCGAAGAGCCAGTAGAACAGAGGCAGCAGTGCACAGGTAAAAACGCATTCGTGTCTTGGAAATTATTTTCCCGACGTGAAATATAAAAGAAAATAACAAATATAATATCGCCTACAACTTAAATGTCACTGGTGAAAACAACCTGCATAGACTCATGATGTCTGCACTACTGTCCTACAGTGACCTGCCACATGAGGGGACACGCACACAAACACACACACACACACACACACACACACACACACACACACACACACAAACACACACAAACACAAACACACACCTTCATCATCGTCATTAACCTGAGAACGCGCGGACCACGTTTCCTTCCGTAGTTACTGCGCGGACACCGACGTGCTCCCGTGAGCCGCGTGTGGATCGTGTTTTCTCGCGTACGCGACGTAAACCGAGCTTCCTCCTGTGAACCTCTAAACCAGAACTAACATCAAGACTAAAACCAGGACTAATCCAGGTAAAACCAGGACTAAACCTAAACCAGGACTAAACCAGGACTAAAACCAGAACTAAAACCAGAACTAAAACCAGGTCTAAACCAGGACCAAACCAGAACAAACTCCAGGACTAAAACCAGGATTAATCCATTCCAGGACTAAACTAGGACTAAAGTAGGACTAAAGCAGGTCTAAACCAGGACTAAAACAAGGACTAAAACCAGTGATGTCATATATAAAGCATTTCTCTATCAATAATATTTTTAATATGGTTAAGGAAAGACTGGACTTTTTATTGTCTTTAAGTAGACAAAAGTTATTATGTTCAGATTTCCTCGTCTTTGCTTCTTTACAACAAACAGTTTCTTATTCATGGAGACTTGGGCTCAACAGACAATTTGAAGAGATTTGTTAAACAATAAATGACTTTATAAAGTCACTTTTTTTTTAATCTATATCAGTCTTTTGATCTGCCACAATAATGTAATAATGAATTTAAATGAAAATACCTCAAATTGAAGCTTTTCTCAGCAATTTTTAGGTGAGATTAAAATGAGATTAATTAGATTAATTAATTACAGATCATAATTAATTAATCTCTCAATTTTTTTTTATCGCATGACAGCACTAGTTATAATGTTGTTTCCTCGTCACAAACAGACCTGGAGTTGTGTTTTGTTTCATTCACACATGTTTAACACACAAACCTGCATATTTAGTTCTTCTCTCAAACAGAAAAACACTCTTTGATGTCATGTGGTTATACAGGAAGTGCTCCACTGTGTTTCTTCAGTTTCATACTGTTTCACGTTTTTCATCTTCACTACAATCATTTAGATCATTGCCGCTCTGGAATTGTGAATCATTAAACAAAAGGTTAAAGGACGAAAAGATAAAAAGTGTCTGTTCACGTGAACACTGCTGCTTCATGACATCACAAGCTGGAACAGAGCATTTTGAGCTTTGGAGATGTAGACAAGTGTAATAATGCAGGATTAAAACAAAACAGGAATGAAACAAAACACAACTCCAGGTCTGATTTTAATGGCCTTTAACAAGTAGACCTGTGGCGTTAACAAATTTTGTATCATGATTGTGAAACAAAATTGTTAGAGAGAAATACAGTGATAAATGATGATACTGAAACCACTTTATGCCACTGACACAGTGATAATAATGCAAGATAATCTCACTAAACCAGGGGTTTTCAAATTGAGTGAATGTGAACCTCCCCCTTTCCCAAAATCCCCTCCGCCTGCCCCCCCCACACACGCCTCTAAAGTAAATGCATCTTTTGTGTTTCTGCAATGATGAGTTTCAATAACAACTGATCATATCTATTTTTAATATTGTATTTTCATGACTTTTTTTTAACCAGGTTCAGGAAACCAGGTCTAAACCAGGACTAAACCAGGACTAAACCAGGACTAAACCAGGACTAAACCAGGACTAGCCAGGATGAAACCAGGACTAAACCAGGACTAAACCAGGACTAAACCAGGACTAAACCAGGACTAAACCAGGACTAAACCAGGAAACCAGGACTAAACCAGGACTAAACCAGGACTAAAAGGCTGTGTTTAGCCCCATGAGGTGCGGAGCTCTGTGCCGGTCCTTTTGCCTACGGTCTCCCGACTGTCTACAGGAGCACACTTTCAGGCCCATCCCAACAGTCAGTCCTCATTCAGTTCTGGTTTAGTCCTGGTTTAGTCCTGTTTTAGTCCTAGTTCAGTCCTGGTTCAGTCCTGGTTCAGTCCTGGTTCAGTCCTGGTTTAGTCCTGGTTCAGTCCTGGTTCAGTCCTGGTTCAGTCCTGGTTTAGTCCTGGTTCAGTCCTGGTTCAGTCCTGGTTCAGTCCTGGTTTAGTCCGTGTGTGTTGTGCCTCCCCAGTGGCTCTTTGGCGCCTCCCGGGGGAGGTGGGCCTCACCTACTGAAAACTGCTCCACTAAACCATTTTGAAATAGACAACATCATTAAAAGGCCTGAGCTGCAACAGATAAATAACAGAATGAAGCAATAATTTGCCACAGAAGTTATTTATTCAACTCTTTACAACTCAAATCTTACTGTTTTACAACAGAAATACTCCAAATCTCTCCACTTTTACAAAGAAACTGTACAGAAAATAAACATTGAGCCCCAGAATATATTGTTTCATCTTAGGCCTGTTAAAGATCTTATATTACTCAAAACTGATTCTTGTTATTAAACCTTGTGCCCTGGGACCACATGAGCCTGTAGGGGGCGCTGTGCAGACTGTAGACTGTAGGAACGCAAGGCTTCATAATGGGAGGGTTGAGCGTGACACGTCATTCTAATGAAAAAACGAGACAGAATTTTAATCAGATCAGCAAAAATGAGAAAAAAAAAAAAAAAAGTAAAATTTATTCCTCTCAAATCTAAACTCTGCTCCAAAACACTTGCTTTTCGCTTAATTTGAAACGATTGGATCTCGATTTGATTAAAATTTG